ATTATAATAAGAATTTCCTATTATACTAAGAATTTCATATTATAATATGAATTTATTTGGAATGATCTTCGATAGACATTATATACTTTAAATAAACAGTCTCCCTGTTGCACGCTAAACTAATAAAATTTATACGCGATTTTTTTATCGCTAATTCAATCAATATGTTTGTCTGTGTGTCTGTGTGTCTGTGTGTGCGCGCGCGCGCTCGCGCGTATATAGTCATTAAAATAAATCTTTTACTATAAGTGAAAAGGGTATCAGAATTTTTTTCTCATTAAATATCAAAGTTTAATCTTACTCGAGTGTGATAAAAGTACACCCAATAACTGCTGCTCTGAAAAGTAAACAAGCATACATAAAAATTCATCTTCACTGTTACTAAAATGTCGAGGCAATTCTTCATACATCTCTTGAATAATCTCCGAGGTTACATTAATTACGAGCACTTGGATCATACGGAGTATATTAATTTGAGAGAGGTTTAGATTTTCTTTGCACTTTAAGAAGCAAATTTATTGACGCTTTCAATAACTTATCACATTAGCATGCAAAATCGCTCCCCTTCACTTTTCTCTCATCCTCCGTCAAATCAGAGAATTACCTAATAAGCCAGGATTCAATGTTTTTTCTTCTGAGTGGACGGACCACTGGCCTCCGAGGCTCCACGTGGCTCCTTTTACCAGATCAATGGAATCCGAGTGTCGACAAATAATGATATGGCACTAACCTTTTCAGAATCACAAGCGCAGGCGCAGCATTTTCCCCTATTTGGGTTGGCCTCGCTAATTCAATGTGCAAAGTCGAAATAACATCCCGTTGGTTGTACCGTAGGAACGAAGCTTCTTATAGAGAGGGCTGAAGGACAACGAAATATGATTTCTATGAAAATACGAGATAATGTTACTGTCCCAATAATGCCAAGTATATCGAGGGCTTTTTACGTGTCGATGGATTGGCATATTTCATGAAAATAAGCTCTTTTTATCATACATTAACGGAGCACATATTGTTTGGATATGATGTTATATGGTTTATGATGGATAGATATATTGTTTAGTGGTTACTCGGGAGAAATTTATGGGAATATACTTTAATTAATATGACAGTGCTTACTTATTTTACGCAATCAATGCGTGCAATTTAACGAAGCTGGTAAATTGTAATGAAAAGAAAAATTTACAGTGAAGGATAATTCATAAATATTGCTAGGTTAATTATCGATTATTTTTTTTTTCTCATTGAAACAATGACGACAGAATTTTAATTTATATAATTTTGGAATTCTGCCAATGTACAATTTATTAATGCTCTAATGAAGTTTAAATTTAATATTTCTTATCTAACCAAAGTGGGCTGGTAATTGCATATGAAAATTTAAACTTCAAGTCCTAACAAATCATCAAAGTCTATGTAACAACTGACATTACGATTGGCAAGTTGTAATTTTTTACGATCCTTCAGCATATAATTACCGTACAAAGTAGATAAAATTTTAAATTGCAAATGAGTAAGCTAGATATTTTAGACTTTAATAAGAATACAATTTTTTTAATTACTTTCCCACCAATTTCTCTACAATCTAATGTTATTTTTACACGATCTGGAACTTTACATATTGACTTCATTGCGGATAATTTTAACAAAGTAAAAAAAAAAAAAAAAAAAAAAAAAAAAAAAAACCATAAAAATAAACTAAGAAATATAAAGGAATTTGTATTTTTCATATAATTTTTCCATAGATTTATGAACAGAAATGTTTGGAATAAAAATTATATAGCCTTTATAGGTTGTGTCGAGCGATACAAGCGATGCACACGCATTTTTCCAATTACACGCTATTTATCGACCTTCGTCTTCAAAATTTAAAAAATTTTATTTATATTAGCATAACATTAATATACCATCGATGTAATATAGCCCATCGAGCATTACTCGCTCACGCTCATAAACATCAAAGTAAGAGTATTCGATCAAAGTAAATCAACGAGGCAATCATAACCTCCGTCCTCTAAGAACAGCAACATTAAACATTAAACATTATGAATATTTATCAAAATATAAAAAAAAAAATAAAAAATAAAACAGAACAAAAAAAAAAAAGACTAGACGATTAGAAGACTAGAAGATCTTAACGATTTTTGTCACATGCCCAAAACAGACTATTATATGTTCATTATTTTTACGATATCAAAAAAATTCTGCGATTCCGTATCCTTCGCGTTCATACTATAATTATATATACATAAGTGTATTATTGATTTACACCAATCAGTCTTGAATTTACAATAATTGTGTAATAAAATTAATATTTTATATGGACACAGAGATCTCGTGAAATTAAATTTTAGAGAATAGCTGCAATGCGCCTGCGCTAAAGGAGTGGCAAGTACGATTGCCAACAATTCCAAATTTGTTTATGTGAATGCGATATATAAGTTTCTAAATATCTTGTAATAATGAAAAATCAGGCTGATACGTAATTTCGACGCATAAAATATGAATGCTTATTTACAACAATAACGTGCTCCCACGATGCCAGAGGCGTTACGTGAAATAAAATTTATATATCGCCAACTTTATCATTAATTTTATACACCCTTCTGCAATTTGTCCTAGCTGCAGGAGTTTTCGAAAGGAAAATAACAACCAATCCTGCTACAAAACTTTCAACGGCATCTATCAACTAATGAACCATAGAAAATATTCGAGCGAACGCTTTGAAAAATTTAACGAACTCATCGATTAAGCGAGAGCAAAACTTGGTACAACTTTAGGGCTTTTATTAAGCGCTCGACGATAACTATTTCTTCAAGCCGGCCTTTTACAAATCAGTTTGGCAGATTTTTTTTTTATAATCAACTGCCAAAGTTGTCTCTCCATCCGTTCAAACATTATGTTAAACGGAGTTAAAACGCATTACCAGACGCTACTCTTAATATTCGAGAGAGCACACTGGCTCTCGTGCCTATCGGCTTTGTTGAATGAGACGGAGCACCGGTGTACTTGGCCGTTAATGGCAGAGATCGACGAAAGCCCGGGAGCCTACGAGTCCAACGATCCAAATTAAGAGCGAGAGAAGCTCGCGACGCCGCTTATTTCGCAATTTCAGATACGAGCTCTCCCCTACCCTCCCATTTCCCCTCCTTACCTCCCACCGTTCCTCCATCCCGCCATCGTTATTCCCTCCGACGACCGCCATCCGTCGACTTTTTCTTCGAGGCGTCGCCGAAGTTTGAGGTTATCGCGACGTCGTACAGATTAAAAGAATCGGACGGCTCGCAATCGCGGGAAACGAGGTGAGGGCTGATAGGCGCGTGTGACAACTGCTGCGTCGTCGGATAATCGATGGAAATGAAATTTCAGGCGCGATTTCGTTAAGCGAGAAGATAAGCCGGATGATGGGTGGCAATACGCTCTCTGGACTCGCGTAATATATCTTCGTAAGACGAATGTGTTCTGGAGACGTGTGGCCGTTCGTTATTTCTCATAGGAGTCATATTCTTAGTGCAACTCGATCCGTCGTCCAGCTCCAGCCACCACCACGCCCAGGAGACGCAATCGAGATCCATTTCTTAAAATGATTTCTATGCGTGGCTATTCCGAGCTGACGTAAAGAAGACATGATTGGACAATTTATGAAAAGTTGTTCTATTAATTATCTATGATTTCTTTCTATCATCGTCTTTCTTCGCGTTGGGCATATATTAGGCCTAGACCAATCGCGATTGACTATCTTTTTCTATGGTGGCATTTAAAAGCAGCACATTTAAATCCAATTTAAATCTGAAGAAAAAAAATCACTGCCTAACTATTTTTACCATTCGTGTCGTCGCTTTATAAATAAATCATGTCTCATGGGTTCTTTTGTCCAAGCTAATAGGAAGCTAATAGGAAGCTAATAGGAAGCTAATAGGAAGCTAATAGGTAACAAATAGAAAGAAAGTAGGAAGAAAGTAGAGATACGACGATTGAGATTTTTGCGCTAACTTTGCAATTACGAGGACTACGACATGAAGCCTAAGATAATTAACGATAATTTCTCTATTAATAGAGTCACGGAGAATATCGAGCATACAATATGCATTAATTGTATATGGCTTACATTACGTGTATGCGTCAAAGTCGCGCGAATTTTTAATAATGAAACGCCCATTATAATCGAATTAAATATGAATTGTAATCATAATAAATGAATATTAAAATTAGGCAGTCACAGAGCATAATAATCCGTAAATTACGTAACTTAGTATTCACGCGATGTCTCCTTTTTGTCGCATAAAAATATTATTCTTATGGCTCTTGAAATGTGTTTTGATCGAGTTTGCTGTCAAGGTTACGGCGGGAGCCCCGTATATTGTATTTCGACTATTGGAAAGAAGTCGACGATGGCCTGTTTCATCGACATTGACAAACGCGTTGCGAGAGTAATTGCAATAACGATCGGCTATCGCAGTTGTCTCTTGCGGAAGTCGCACTCGAAGGAATTGGCCAAGGTGAACGCGCCCTCCTGACGTATGTACCTGCTTGCGCCCGAATAGTTACCGTTTATCTACCACTCGTCCACGAGCGCCGTCTTATCCATTACTTCCTCCCATCTCCTCCTCTCACCGCCACCGCCCCTCGCGCCAAATTGCCCCATCGCCCCGCCATACCACATGGCCTTAAGTTTCGAATCGAATTTCGCTCGCGCTGCAATCGAATAACGCGTTCACGTACGACGAATTTGCGCGCCCACGCATTCCAATCGCTTCCGTGTCCGATTCGCTCAAGGCTCGCGGTCGAAAAATCTGCAGCCGCTCCTCCGTTCCTGTCCTCTCTCCCCGCACCACGCCTCGCTAAAACTCTCTTCGCGTGTGTTCCCTCCTCTCGCTCTCGCTCTCTCTCTCTCTCTCTCTCTCTCTCTCTCTCTCTCTCTCTCTCTCTCTCTCTCTCTCTCTTCCTCAGCCGGTCCGAGAGCCCCCACGCGCGCGGCCACGTCGAACGCACCGGCGCCGTCGTCGAATGCCGATCAGACGTCTTTGATCGTTCCTCGAGTCGTGTTCTCGGAGCATCGTGTCGGAGGCGAGAAACTCTCACCCTGGGGAAAGATGCCGACCGCCGTGAGCAGCTTGAAGGGTCCCCGGCCAGACAGCATCGTGAGTCTATTTAACACTCCATTTGGCGCGAGCTACGCATTTCACGCATTTTATTCTCTCTCTCTCTCTCTCTCTCTCTCTCTCTCTCTCTCTCTCTCTCTCTCTGTGTGTGTGTGTTTGCGTGAGTGCCTATGTGCGTACGTGTATGCGTGCGTGAGTTGCCTTGGCTGGATGCGCGCGAGACTCGACGTACGTGTCTCGCTAATGCGACGGCCGCTTATCTTTCCGCGAGTCGCCCGATTTTTACGATCGTTCGCGACTGCTTCGCCGAGACGCGTAGGTCGTGGAGATTTGGGCCGTTAAAGCGATGACGACTTGTCGCGGCGGGATGTCGTTTATTATTGCACAGCCGAGGATTTTTGGTATTATTCCATTCGGCGAACACGATAAAGGTGAATTAATTCGAATTGCTCGCCTAACCTCTCTCTGCGACGCGAGCGGTTCCCCTGATTCCCCCGGCGTAATCATTTTAATCGATCCGAGCCTGCCGCTACTCACGGCTGTTCTATGTCTGATCGACTGGGCCCCGTGTTATCCCGCGCCATTCTAAATAAACAGATAATAAAATCCGAGGTTTCGAGTGCCAGTGGAGTTCCTTGGATTTTTAGCGGCTACGGCCGAGAGGCTGCTTCGTGGTGCATATTCGTCACCTTGATAGCGATAAAATCGAAAACATTACCCAGCCGTGGAAATGAAAGTTTGCTCATCGGAAACTGTATAAATTCTGGACATATTATTATTATTAATATTATTATTTAAACAACGTCAACGGCGCTTATCTAAATGTCTTGTTCGCTCGTTCCACCCATTACTAGGCTCCGTCCGATCTACCGGCAACTTTCATTTTGCCGATATGTGTAACGGGTTTGCGTGTGTTCGTGCGTGCGTGCGTGCGTGCGTGCCTGCGTGCGTGCGTGCGTGCGTGCGTGCGTGCGTGCGTGCGTGCGTGCGTGCGTGCGTGCGTGCGTGCGTGCGTGCGTGCGTGCGTGCGTGCGTGCGTGCGTGCGTGCGTGCGTGCGTGCGTGCGTGCGTGCGTGCGTGCGTGCGTGCGTGCGTGCGTGCGTGCGTGCGTGCGTGCGTGCGTGCGTGCGTGCGTGCGTGCGTGCGTGCGTGCGTGCGTGCGTGCGTGCGTGCGTGCGTGCGTGCGTGCGTGCGTGCGTGCGTGCGTGCGTGCGTGCGTGCGTGCGTGCGTGCGTGCGTGCGTGCGTGCGTGCGTGCGTGCGTGCGTGCGTGCGTGCGTGCGTGCGTGCGTGCGTGCGTGCGTGCGTGCGTGCGTGCGTGCGTGCGTGCGTGCGTGCGTGCGTGCGTGCGTGCGTGCGTGCGTGCGTGCGTGCGTGCGTGCGTGCGTGCGTGCGTGCGTGCGTGCGTGCGTGCGTGCGTGCGTGCGTGCGTGCGTGCGTGCGTGCGTGCGTGCGTGCGTGCGTGCGTGCGTGCGTGCGTGCGTGCGTGCGTGCGTGCGCGCAGAAACGCATGTGTACATAACCTAGTCATGAATAATTCAAACTCGCCTCTGTAAAGTTGATGAATCGCGTGTCTCCGTATTTAAAATTCAAATGCAAAGAAAGAGAACACAAAATTTCTTTAAAAATATCAGCGTATATCGAAACTTTGGAAAAAATCGCACTTTCGATGTATTCTATTTGCATACGAGAAAAATGCGAGGTGACTTGTCTACAATGTAAAATTGGAGTGAAAAATTTCCCCGTTTTTAATCATAAATTAAAGTAAAATTGCATTATTGATAAACGAGCGTGTGAGCATACACAACCAACCACCCACACACGCACACACACTCAAGCGCACACATACACATACACACACATCGTAAAGAATACTCGACAAATAATTAAATATTTATATAATCCTTACTTTACGAAATTTTCATTTCGAGTATTTAATATTTTCGAGTATCGAGATTGAAAAAAAAAATTTTTTGTTATATTTACGAGAGTCGAACAAATCTACAAATGAGGAGAAAAATAAAACATTTTGCTTTTCGTAAATCGTTATTGCGGCCACTACGAGAGTACAAGCAGAGATATAAGTATATATATATATATATAGTATCGCGAAAGGATCGCGTGAATCGCGTTTGTCAAATTCGTAACGTCGCACGTGTTTGATACAAGACGCCACTTTCTGTCTCCTTTGCTCCTCACACGTCTTCTATTAAATTACTCCAAGTTCTCTTGCTTATCTAAGAGTGGGCGTGGAATAATGGCAAAAAATTTCCTGGAATTTGTTTTCCGCTCGACCATCACCTGTAGTAACGAAGTCGTAAAATAAGCCATTACAATTTTCTATTTATTTATCAGTACATTATTGGTCCATTACTGCCTAATTTGACGATCAAAAAAAAAAAAAAAAAAAAAAAAAAAAAAAAAAAAAAAAATCGAAATTATTTTAGTTAATGCGATCTTTATCTCCCCCTCTTTTACCATCCTAATACATAACTTACAATCACTTGTACAACATTACGACTTTAAATTTCCCTATACATTCTAACCAACGACATTATCTTCTCACGCTTAACGTGTCCTTTTGAACTTTACATATATTAATAAAAATAAATAAATAAACAAACTACTACTATTGTAGCCAGACATCAGAACATTCACGTAATGGATTGACTAAATCAAGAGAAACCTGTTTTTTCATAGCGAAATTTCTCTTTCAACGTACTATTAATATTTTTCAATATTATCACCGTTACTATTGCCATTCTTGATTTGCATACAAAGGGTTTTGTCATTAGTTACACAATTAATACAATTACTATATAGCAAGAATGTAATTTTAAATATTGTACGATTCATAAATATTAATCGGTTAATCTTAAATACAAAGAAAATAAAAGAATGTTAATAAAAAAATTAATCGTTAAATAAAATTACTATACGCTCACTTTTCTTCTTTTTGCCCGATAAAGTGACTCCATAAAATAATAGTATTATGCAAATGTAATAATAAATGCTTTTCGAATTGTCATAAAATGAGACTTCTCAATTAGCGATATATTAAATATGTCAAAAACTTATTTTTAATAGTATCTTTAATAAATATCAATAAGATATATTAAAATTATTTTTGTATTACACAACAGCAATTAAATCAATATTTACGTTTCACGCATATAAACATTATTATTAATTTATACATGCTCAAGTGACTATTCGGAAACTTTCCATAAAAAAGAACATATTTATATGTAATATTTAAAAGAAAAAAATAAACAAAAAAAAAACATTGTTACAAAGTCATTTGAGTCTTCAACCTCAGCGTATAATGGATAAATAATGTCCTCTAGACGATCAACGACTTTCTGCAATGATATTCTATCGCTATTTATTTATTAATTTCAACGTTTTGTGTTTATGAGAATATTTGTTTTTCTTTTTTTTTTTCTTTTTTTGCTCTTGTTTCAATTTAAAAAAAAAAAAAAAAAAAAAATGTTTGATGCCTAGAAATTATTTACTAGAGTTTATACCATCATTTAGAAATATTATTAGAAAATTTTAAAACACATTTAATAATCACTGAGTAACTGTTACGTTATTTTTGCAATTCAAATATTTATAATTTTAAGAATATAAGAATCGTGATATTTATTGTTCTATGATTGTTCGACGTCGATCCATACATAATATTTAAAAGCTATAATTTTCATTCTTAAATAAACTATGATCATACACTCACGCACCCCCCCCCCCCCCCCCCCCCTCTCTCTCTCTCTCTCTCTCTCTCTCTCTCTCTCTCTCTCTCTCTCTCCCTTTTAGTCACTATGAATAGACAAAATTTTGTTAATTTCTTGTCAGTATAAAATAATTTCCCAAGTTACTCTGTGATTTTTTTTCCCATTCCTACTTATATGTCCAATTTATTTTAATTTATGTCATGCAAAACATCGAGTACCTCTATCTTTTATTTATGTAATTGCCGATAGTATCTGCTTTTGACGTCCGCGTTTGTCCCAAATATTCTTCTAGGAACTTTATTTTTGAACTCTAAATTTGTTTCCTTCATATGTTTAAGATCCGTTTTACGCATCCCAATACGATTATCGACAATATTATTCTTTACTGCATAGTAATAACTGGGTAATAACTTTCAATATTTATTCAACATAAACACAATATTGTTCTCTCACAGTTTCCATTGTTGCAATTGTTAAAGGCTAAATTAGCTATTTTTCACTAAAATTACAAACAATAAGGCACTATATTTAGTCCATTAAAATATAAAACATGCTTTATATTTTGTTGATTATTATTATTTATGATAATTAATAATAGGCAAGCGATTTTGCTTACACAACAATACTATTTACTATTTTAGCCGCTCTTCAGCAACGAAACGTTAACTTACTCAGTGTCAGAATAATAAAAATAGGCTACTTGAACTGGAATATCGTACTGTTCGGTCGATTTTGTGAAAAAAAAATAAGAACAAAAAAAAAAATCGAACGTGGCTTACTGCTTGTTTTGAAACAATTCCTTCGAAAGATAGAAACTTAACGGTCGTATGTATCGCGGATAAATTCGAAATTATCGAGCTGCTAGAAATATAAAAAATTAAAAGCACATTAGGAAAAAATACGTAGAAATAATTGATGAACAACGATTTGATATAAATATTTTTATATTTTCAGCAGCGTATTCATGGATTCTACGGTATTGAATAATATTGATTTTTATTTTTCATAGTAAGAACAATGGTTACGGACGCAGCAAATTATTTATGATTTTTCATCTTATACATTAGAAAAGATCTCGTTAACTATTTATAATTATTATTATTATTTTTATTATTTTAGTATTCTTACCGGAACATTGGTAATGTAAATTTCAATTATTTACTATTATATAAACATTAATAAATCGTATGTTAATGATAATCATCATTGAAAATAATTTTGTTAAAATACGCTTTATCTTTATTATCAATTTTCCAATGTAAATCCAATATAAATGAAAAAAATCGATACAACTGTAATTAAAATG